ATGTTGCCCAAAAAGCTTTTATAAGGAATAAATGAACTTGTTAGCATAAAGTTCAACAACTTTTTCATCAACAATTGAAATTTTGCTAATTCTATAAATAGCTAGGCGATTTATACTGCTTGCCGTCCGTTTGCAATAAACCAGAAAAAAACCTTATCTAGTCAAAACACTTTAGAAACAGCAAAAGAAAAGAAAAAAAAAAATAAAAAAAGTTGACATAAAAACAAGTGCTATCAGAACAACAATGCAATACGTCAGATAATCTGTACCCCTTTTTTACTAAGTCTTATTCTTTTAAAAACGACAACCTCGCCGCTACCAACTTGACCAGCTAACTTGAGTCAACTTCTGCTAGCCTAACATAGTTTCCTGCTTTCGTTGATACTTACAAACTGCAGGAAAGAACTGGTTTTACCACGCAAACCTCCTGTAACCAAACTAACAAAGTAACCCAAATCAGTTATACCACTAATATGTGTTCGGCAGTTACTTGTATCTAAAAAAAAATCTGTTTTCAAGTGTTGACAACTACAAAACTTCAGTGGTCTTCTTTGCTCGAATCAAACTACAGCAGTAAGATTAACAAAATCAACATGAGAAAAAAAGAAAGAATAAACATTATTCTCTCCAACCTACTTATCCTACTATTTAACTGTTGTTCCAGTGTCGCTGAGCTAATTTTATTATTTACCAGGTGGACAATATCAACCACGCGATTAAACGAGAATAAACATAGATACACGCATACAACAGCATAAACATAATAGCACATAAACAACATATACAGTTTTGTTCTACACACCGTAAGTTCATTGCGTGCACTTCATACGTTTGAATATAGTTGCCAAAGATAGCAAAAAAAAAGTATTACAAATATAAAACATCTTGAACTGTAACTTGCTTATCCTATTCCTTGTCCAATTTACTTGCCAATGGCACTAAAAAAGAAAAAAAAAATTAATGAGAAACTATAAAAGAAAAAACACATAACCTTCACAATTTGATATCTAAGCTCTCATCGGTTGCTTAACAGAAGTTGAAAAAAAGAAACAAACCAGAAAAGATCTGAAAAGGGCAAAACAGGACAACTTTCCTAAAACACCATAGAAAACAGTAATGTATTTGAAAAATTGTAGAAAGACAAAAATAAAAAACCATCACCACCAGGAATATTTCATCCCTTAACACAGTTGGCGACCTTGAAAGCAATCAAGCATAAATGATGTTTCAGAAAAAATAATGCCCACTAAAAACCAATAAAATTTTCAAAAAAAAAAAAAAA